CTAGTAAAGCGAGCAAAACGCTGGCTTGCATCCATAGATGTTTCTCAAGCAAATCCCAGGACGTCATTCTCCTGTTGTACTTGGCCTTGGTGAGGCTGCAGCTGGAGTACTGCATCCAGTTTTGGGCTCCACAATTCAAAAAGGATGTGGAGAAGCTTGAGAGAGTCCACAGAAGAGCCACACACATGATCAGAGGTCAGGAAAACAGACCTTACGATAACAGGCTGAGAGCTATGGGACTCCTTAGCCTGGAAAAGCACAGAATCAGGGGTGATCTGATGGCCACCTATACGTTTATCAGGGGTGTTCACCAGGGTCTGGGGGAGCGTTGTTCACCAGAGTGCCCCAAGCAACGGCAAGGTTGAACAGTTATAAACTACTGCAAGACCGTTTCAGGCTAGACATAAGGAAGAATTTCTTTATTGTCTGAGCCCCCAAGGTCTGGAATAGCCTGCCATTGGAGGTGGTTCAAGCACCTACTTTGAACACCTTCAAGAGAAATTTGGATGCTTATCTTGCTGGGATCCTGTAACCCCAGCTGACTTCCTGCCCCTGGGGCAGGGGGCTGGACTCGATGATCTTCCGAGGTCCCTTCCAGCCCTAATGTCTGTGTGAAATCTGTGTTAATGAGCAGTAACTAACACCTATGAAACCACAGACTAAGGAGAGGAAAGGATCAATACAGAACTAGGAACACCCTGAAACTTCACTGTTAAAGGCAGAGAAACTCCGGTTTGAACTAATCACAGCAGTGAATTAATCAAACTTCATCAACAGAGTCCCGAGACTGCACGTACCTGTGGACGTGACCCCTGGGGCTGACAGCTGCCATCCAGCAACCACCAAGGGGGTGGCCCATTAGGTCAATGACCCCTAGATGGGGTAAGCCCGAAAACTGGGAAGTCACCAAAGTCTGCCAGAGAGGGATAAAAGGCAGCAAAGAATGACCCCCAATGGCACCCTCTTTGACCTGACCAGCACCCTGCCTGCCCAGCCAGAAGTACCAGCTGGCAACCCCCTTCTGAAGCAACATTTCACTGAAAGAAGCCTCGACTGGCCATTGACAGTGGACTCCAGCGCTTGGGGACAGGTACATCTTGACACCGGTGCTTAGTGTTCATAGCTAGCTACTGTGAGTGTGTATGTGAGTGAATGTGTATGTGTTTGAGGGGATCAGCCCCAAGGTTTATGATCTGACTTTTGCATCCGTCTAATAAACTAGAATTTTATGGTGAGTTGGTCCTTTGTAGCCAACACTTTAATTGTTATATTAACTAATGAAATCTTTCTTTAAAACTCAGAAAACATACTATCAGAAAGTTGATAAAAATCAGTTATTGAAATTGGGCTTTAGCTTGGTTGATTTAAGTCATGATTTATCAAATGGGCTGTAGTTAAAGTGCCCCCACCACCATTTAGCAGCCCGGGGGCGCAAATACATGTGATACTGTATAGGTGCCCAATATTCCAGCAAAAGCTACATCAGAGATTCCCCTGTTTATGTGTCCAAGGATTACATTAGCCATTTTGGCCACATTGTCATGCCTGGGCTCATGTTCAGCCAACTGTCCAACAAGACCTCCTACTCCTTTTCAGGGTCATTGCTTCCAAGAAGAATCCCTTTTGCTGTAGCTCTTTGTTTGCATCCTGCTTGCCAAGCAATTCATAATGTTGGTTTCTGTAGCAATATTTAGGGAATGGTTTCCTGTATTAGATAACATAACTTTCCTCCAGTCATGTCTAAAATTGTCTAAACAGAAATAAACCTTCTTTTTTTATGATTCCCTTATGATTTCTTTTATGCAAAACATACTTAATCCCTTTGTGCTCCACAAAACTAACCTCTGGAATTCTGACTGAGGAAGGTCAAGACAAGCCCATTGGGGCACGAGACATTCAGACTCTGAAAAGTAGGGATATCTGGTGTTGCTTGCGTGTGGGAAGCTGGTTCTTCTGTTTCCACCTAGATAACAGAGTACATATTAATTTTATGAAACATTTTAAAAATGTTGATTTTGTTAAGTGCATCAGTAGAACTATTATCCTGATTTTGTCACTTACTTTATTCATGTTTAATATCCCCTGCTGTCCTTCCTTTTTGTGTCCTTATGTGACAAGGTATTTAACTGAGTGTACAGATTCATTGGACAGGGCTGCTCTGTAAGCACTTCTGCTATGCCTTGAATTTATGACTTTTGGACTGTCAACCATACACCTGAGTGCTTGAGTCACCCCAGCCCCTCCTCCTTTGCATAGAGAGCCATACATATTGCAGCTGTAGATGTTCTCTGTTTATTTTCTTTAATTGTTAAATTATAAATGATTGTTACAGTGATCTTTAAAGAAAAGTCCTTGCTAACTACTCTTTTCTGTTGAGTTATTTCACTAATTTGCACATTGTGTTAGATGTTATGCTACTTCAGACCCATATAAAGACTGGGGGTAGCTCCAACTTGATTCAATAACTGTGGGAACATCTATATGTGCAATTAGGGCAAAGCAATCAACTCTGGAGTACTTTAAGCCAAAGTTAAATGTTTCTGGGCACAGCATCTACTCATATGCCTGAGACAGCAGCAATTTGAACTGGGGCAGAGCAGCCCTGGGCTGGCAGAGGGGACAGGAGGTCAGCCTTGGATTTTGGGTGATGCTGTCAGGTGGCAGAAGGGCTGGCAGAAACCAGAGGTTTGGCTCCCTGGCTGGCTGGGCTGACCTGGCACAATTTGTGCCTGTGGTCAGCATCTACACATGCGTTTAAGTGCACCTATTTACTCCATCATAGGATAGTACTGTTGGGGACAGTGGAGTTAATTAGTTTATTTGAACCCTAATACTCTTGCATGTGTAGACTGTGACATTTTGTGGCTGCATCAAGACGAGATGCTGACCGTGCAGTTGTTACTGCGCAGTCATTTAGTACTAGCATACACAAGTACTAAATGACTGTGAAGTAACCAGAGTTGCTATGCAGTAGCATCATCACATGGCTTTTTGGTGAAGCTGGCTGTGAGGTAACTCATTACTACTACACAGTAGTGTCGTGTCATGCTTTGTGCCATGCGATGCTACTGGGCAGTGACAATAAACTACTGCGTAGTCAGTGTATCATGTAGATGTGGCCAGGAAGGAATAGTGGTGGCAAGATATTTCCCCAGATTGCAGTGAGGAGAAGCAGCAGTGATATATGGGTTTCAGCACCCACATGCCTCTGATCTGAGCTGGGTCATTCCAGCCTGTGGTCTGAAAAGAGTTGCCCACTGTTGCTAAGCTAGTAAGCTAGTTTGGATGCCAGAATCGGAAAAGCCAGAGAAAGTAGTGAGAAGCAGGATAAACTAGTCTGTATGGAGCTCCACTCCACCATGATTAAACTGCTTCTACGACATAAGCTAGCAATTTTGTATGTCTTGTAAGATCCTTCTTAAAATGCAGTGCCTGAAACTGGACATATGAGTTCAGCTAAGGCCTGACTAGTGCTAAGTGGGGTGTTAGTAATATTGAAATCAAAACAGGTAAGCAGGCCCTGATGTTAGATCATTACACTCTAATTTTTATTTTATTATATTTTCAACAAATTAAGTCTGAAAGTCTTGTGATAACTTGCTTTTTCTAATTTCATTAAGTCATGTAAGTCATAGAGGCTATGTGGGGGAAGCTGATGAAATCCAGGATAAGGGATTTATACTGCAACCAGGATTGGGTGTGTCTGGTTTATTTTCTAAGATTTTGGCCATTCAGTGGAGTTGAAGGTAACATAAGCTTAGACTCCAGACACATTTGCTCTGAAAAAGGGGGAAAATCATAATAAAATCCTTCCCCATTATTTTTAATCAGATCTAATAAATGATCAAGGCAGAGAAAGTTACAGGTATGATAAAAAAAATTCTCTCTCCCTGTAGTCTTAGTAAATGACTAGGCTAGTTTGGGCCACTCTGATCCACTATTTATTTGATTAAACAATGGCATTGAAGGAAGACTATGCCAACTATTTCTGTCCCTTTTACTGAGTTATTCCTTCAGTTAACTCATATTTGTAATTTATAGCCATATTATTACTTCATTGTACTACTTACTGGTGAATATTCCCTTATCATTTTTTCTTCCCGCTTTGAAAGATCTTCTGGTGATGGAGAGACTGCTTTGACATGGCTCACTTTGGCAGATGGCATGGATTTTGCTGATTTTTGCTTGAGTGATTTGTTGCTTTTTCCTGAAGAAGTTGAAGCAGCAACAGGAGCAAGAGTGGGAGCAACAGTCGGAATATGTACAGAAGGGATATTCAAAATTGTTGCCAAGTCAGGGTCTGTGTCATCTGGAGGGGAAGTAATATTTATTATGCAATAGGCCAGAGATGCCCAACATGTAAATGGCTGTAGATCATATGCTCTGTGGGCACCCTAACTTCCCTCTCAGCTCTCCAAGCCATGGCCTGTACCATGCTGCCCTGCCTCCTGAGGCAGGGGCAGAAAGTAAATGCTGGAGGAGGGAGAGGAAGCCCAGAGACCCTGGCTTAGTATGTTGTAGATGGCAACATTCAGCGTGACAGTGGGTGTAGAGTAAACAGGTGGGAGTCTGGGAGCCACAAGTTAACCCCTCATGAGCCTCATGTAGTTCATGGGCCATGGGATGGACAGCTCTGCGGTAGACAAGAGTTGTACATGTAAATGAACATGTTTTGTTCCTGACAAGCCTTCATTCTTCAAATTACTCCTTTTCAATGACAAAACCAGAGGCCTTAATTTAACAGGGGTTAAATGCATGAACAAATATGTAAGCCTCTTCTATGGATGAACTACTGTCCTAGCCATAAGCAAGGCTGAGGCTCTTGTGTTCCACAGAACCTCAGCTCTTTCAAGAAGTCTGTCATGAATGAAAAACACCCAGAAAGCAAGGTAGATGTGCATTCATAACTAAATCATAGATGCATAAGCTTTTATACACAGCAGCTTACTTTATCAGATGCTATGGGACTGCAGAAAGCAGAGCTTCTAAATAGAAATGAGTAATTGGAATACAAAGGTGGAATACAAAAGGTAGGGAAGGGGGAGGAAAAAGGAGAGACAAAGTGGGTGAGACAAAGCGGACAGGAGAGAAACAAAACAATTAAGCCACTGAGGGACACAGGTTATAAAAACTAATCCAGGTAATGGCATAAGAATACGTAGCCTTGCCTTAGGCCAGCAGTACTCAATCCCCAGCTCTTGGGGATCCCCACAGGTCGGAAAACTTGGCAGTGGGAAGCAATGGAAGCTCCACACAGCCAGATCCAGCCCTGCTGGGCCATTGCCCACACAGTGGAATTAGGGCTAGGCCCAATCCCCGAGCATTCAGATCAGGCCAGGCTGCTCCCCCCAACCCCAGATCTGGATCAAGGCTGTTCTGCTCCAGGCTTCCCATGTGTCCAGATTGGGGCTGGGCTGCCTTTGCCACTCCCCCAGCCTGCATTCAGTTCAAGGCTACTCTATCCTAACCCCAGGATGTCCACATTGGGGTTGCCCTGCCCCACCTACTGTATCTGGATTGGGCTGCTACTTTTACCACATCCAGATTGGGGTTACTTTGCCCCCCGCCCCTCTGCATGTCCAGATTGGGGCTGCCCCACCCCAGGCTTGAGCTGAGCAACCCCCTAGAGCCAGATTGGGCCCATTGACCAGATTCAGCCTGTGGAAGGATCTGGCACTACTCATCCAGTTTGCAGAGTGAAAAGATCAGGCACTACTGGCTTAGATCATACTTAACACAATCCAGTTGTTGATTTGTTGTTCCAGCATTCCCCATTCAAGTTTGTTTTTAAAGTGTTATTGTCAAAGAACAACTATTCTCAGGTCAGTGATGGAATGTCCCAGGAGGGCAATGTGTTCTGCCATAGGTTTGTGTGTCTTTCTGGAAGCAATGTTAGATTGCTATTCATTCATTCTTACATGTAGGAATACTATGTGGTGGTGATATGGCCATTACAAACTTCCACTGTGGTATCTAGGAAACAAATTTACTGAGAGAAGTATTCCAGAGTCAGTTTGATGGACAGCTGTTAAAGTACTGGTGGCATTTCTTTAGAGATACCTTCTCATGTGGCCATATGATGCAGATGTCATTAATGTAACTTAGGTATAGCAGGGGATAAGAGGGCAGCTGCACAAGATGCAGACTTCAAGGTCTGTGGTAAACATAAATGAATGGCACTGCCATGGGCACACATATGCCCATGATGCATCTGTAGGTATAGGGAATTCCCAAATCTGAAATAGTTGTGTGAGGATAAAGCAGGGGAGTGTGATGAGAAAAGAAGCGGTTTCCTCATAGAGCAGGGGTCAGCAACCCCTGGCACACATGTTGAGCATGGCACACGGGGCCATTTTGCTCGGCATGCCATGGCCAGCCCCGGCTCTGGGTAGTTGCTGCCAGCTGGGAGCCCGGGCTGTGCCCAGCTGGGCTTGCAGTATCCCAGCTGCCTGCTGGGAGCAGCCCAGAATCTTGGCTGGCAACAGCTACCCAGAGCCGGGGCCGGCTGCAGCCAGGAGGCTCCAAACAGCTGTGCCAGGCTCCGGGCTCCGGCACAGCTCTGTACCGGCACGTACCGGCACCCTTGTGTTGAAGTGGGCAGTGGGGGAGGGGCCTGAGGCAGCACAACCCTGGTCTCTCCCCTGCTCCCAGCACAGAGGTGATAGGGCACCTTGGGGCAGGCCGCACTGCCCCGCTGTCTGCTCCAAGGTGCACACGCAGCTGCCGCCAGCATGGAGCTGATGCCAGAGCTGTGGAGCCCGGAACAGCTGTTTGGAACCTGCCCGCTGCTTGCTGCAGCTACCCCGAGCCCGGGC